GTTGCATCTGCACAATTACCAACGACTAGTTTTTTTTTTGAATTTGAAGGAACTCATCACCTCGAGGTGACCAGTTCCCTTTTTTTTTTTAAAAAATTTAAAAATTTTAATTTTATTTTGTAATTTAAAAATATTAATTTTTAATAGACTTGTCACATTAAGGTGACGAGTCATTTTAATGAATAAAATAATGACCCACGTGGGGCCCACTACGCAGGGACCATTTAAAATTAATATCCCAGGAAACTCGTCACCTCGAGGTGGCAAGTTTCATGTGCACTGTAGCATTTGCCATATTTCCCAAAATAAAAACTGGGCCAACCTAATACCCTAATAAATTAACTCGCTTAGGGTATTGGGCCAAAAAAGACATTTGCTTGAGTATATTGGATTAGAATTAATCGGGTTCAATTTGGATTCATAAAAGATTGGAATGGCTTCATAAATGGATCGAGTGAATCAACTGGATTTGTTAATATTTGGGGTTCAATGCTTTTAGTTCCATTAGTAAATAGTGAAAACCTCATATTATTTGTAAAGTCCAAATTCAAGATACAAGTCTAAAAAACAAACCCAGACTCAATACATTTTGACCCAAATCATACAAAATTAGAAATTTTAACATTAAAATCATTTGAAAAATCAAAAGCTCTCCCTCAACAAATGCATTCCAAACAAAAATTTGGCTTTAAAAGCATGGCACTTAAAAGACATTGAATTTCAACAAAGATTAAAAAACAAGTTAGTAGCACAAGAAATTCAATATATCCAAGTCTAATATACTTTATGCAATACCAATTGTTGTATTTAAGTTCATGTGCATAAAGCTATGCAAAAATGTTATGCATATGAAAAATTGATATCAATTGTTGCATATATATTAATTGCAATAAATCACATGCATAAACATTTAAATTAAGGTCAAGAATTAAAATTTGTAAAAAAACAAAGCATTAAAATCAATTTTGACCAAAATTCATTATGATGAACAAACATTTATGAAAAATCATTAAAACTTTAGAAAATGTTCATCGCAACACTTTTTAACATACATGAGATAGAAAACATAAAATCATTTAATATCAAAACTCATGCATGGTTTATACTAAATGAGCAACCAATTATACAAGATAATCAAAATAAGCTTAGAGGTTACCCATTCCATATCAAGTGTGGCTAGAGCATTTGAGTATCTTCATTTTCATCACCATTTCTCCCACACACCTACAAGAGACATTTAATTGGACTTTGGTGTCCAAATTGCATTGGATCCTTCAACGTTAGTTTCAATGCCCCTTGTTCCCTTAGGAACCTACACTTGTCTAATTTTAAAATGTTTTCCTTTCTTTAAAGGACAAGTATGTTCCAAATGACCATGAAAATGACAATTTGAGCATTTTGCCATTTTTAACCATAATGAGTTATTTCTAAAAATTTTCTTTTTCTAAATCATTGATTTTGATTTTTGAAAGCTCTAAATCATTTTCAATGTTTCATTTTGTTTTTCAATATCCAATTTTGCTTTAAAAAGAAAATCATTTTCAACTTTAAAATTTTGAAACCATTTTCTTGTATTTGAAGTTCATGGTCTCAAACTCTAAAAATAATTCATCATGTGCATCTTGAAACTCATCAAAAGAATATGAATTGAATTTATTAGAGTTATAATATACATTGGGCTCTTCAAGAGCCATTAAGCACACCATCTTTGTTGGTTTTTCTTTCTTGTTTCTATGGATCTCTTCGAGCTTATTCCAAAGCTTATTGGCATTTGAACAATGAGAAATGCCTTTATAGACATCTGGACCAAATGCACAAAACAATATGTGCATGGCCTTGGAATTTTGTTGGATGTTCTTTCGTTCTTGGTCACTCCACTCCTTCGTCTTCTTCATTGGAGAAGAGTAGCCATTCTCAATTATCTCTCACGCATCAAGATCATTAGAATGGATTAATAGCTTCATTAATTTTTTCCAATGACGATAGTTAGCTTTATTAAAGTATGAAGACTTATCGATAGGTTGGGAGTCTTCCATGAGAACGAGTCGGATGTGGAAGCCATTTTGTTAAACCATCGATTGTGACATGCTCTGATACCAATTGTTGGGTTCGATGAAGCACGATCGATCAACCAAAAATGAGCCAAGAAGGGGGTGAATTGGCTTTTTGAAATTTAGAGAGTAAGGAGCATAAAGTTAGGAAAATTTGCACAATGATTTATAGTGGGTCAACTTCCTCAAAGAAGACTACATCCACTACCTAAGCTCCTCACTTAGGATTTTCCAACAAATCTACTAATTTGTTCTTTTTTTTTCAATGATCAAGAGTATCCTTTACAAACTCCCTAGCTTTTCAAAGGCATAGCTAGAACCAAAACCCATTTACTAAGGAAAAGAATTGTAAACAAGAAAACCTCTAAAAATGAAGGTGTTTACAAAATTTAAGCTCACAAAAACACAAACAAGAGAAAGAGAAATAAAGAATGAAAAACTTTTCTCTTGTGTTGATTGCTTGGATAGGTGTTGATCTACATCTTCAAGTGTCCTCAACTTGTTTTTATATGTTGGAATGAGTTACTAACCGTTGGGAGCTGAAATTTTACAATTCTACGTAGGGGTTTTGAAATCTTTAAAGGGGGTTTCGAAACCTTCATTTAAAATTTTGACCATTTGAATAGGGGGTTTTGAAACCTTTGAGGGGGTTTCGAAACCTGTAGGCTAGATTTACATTCTGCTTTAGGGGTTTCGAAGCTAGGCCCAAAATTGTATGTTTTACCTTTTACAAACTTAAAAACTTTGAATTATTTTTGCAATGTTTAAATAAATCTAATTTGGTCCAAAAACATTTTCCCCTTATTTGTTATATCAAAATATTAGTTATACAATAAGGTTTAAAGGGTGATGTCTACATATCCTATGCAAATATCAAACTTAGAATCTATCAACACATCGAGTAAATATTTTTGAATCATCAATTTCATCATTGTTGATGATTGTTGGAAAAATAATTGATTAATCAAAGTGTAAACTACATTATTGATCACTTTCGTTTAAGTTTATTATGATTTTCCTCATTGAATTAAAAAAATATAATATTTGGTCACATTTATTTTTTTATTTAAAATCTAGTTACTTTCGTTTTTATTTACTTAAGATGTAGTCACTGAGGGTTAACTGTCATTAGACTTTTAATGGATTGCTGACGTGATGGTGAATTTATAAAATTGAAAAAGATAAACTACACAATTGTCATTAATGTTTGAGTAAGTTTTTGTTTTCCATATTGAAATTTCAAAAATAACAAATTGGTCACTAAACAATCAAATAGGTCATTGAACAATGATTTATATCTAATTTATTCCAAAAGCTTTCTAATTTTTGTTCATTCGATGTATTTGATTTCTTCATTTCCAAAAAAGTAAATTTCTAAGATTTATTTTTATTTTTAAAATTTAAAATATATATATATATATATATATATATATATATATATATATATTGGAAAATTAGAAAACTTTTGGGATAAATTAGATATAAAATTGTTGTTCAATGACCTATTTTATATTTTAGTGACCAATTTGTTACTTTTGAAAATTTAGTGGGGAAAACAAAAACTTACTCAAACATTAATGACCATTTTTATAGTTCACCCTTTTAATTTTATAAATTCATTGTGTCAGATTTGCAATCTATTAATGGTTTAACGATAATTAACCCCCAATGACCACTTCTTTATTAAATAAAATGAAAGTGATTAAATATTTTTTTTTTTAAAATTCAGTGAGAAAAAGTATACAAAACTTAAACGAAAGTAATCAATCTTGTAGTTTACTCTTAATTAAATGATATTGATATTATTTATAATAAGTCATGTCACTTAGTGAATAGAATTATTAATAATTTGTTTAAAGTTGCATCAATTCAATCACATTTATCAGCTCTTCAAGAGTTCCCTTCATCAAATGTCAAGTCTTTTCATCAAATGATCTTAGCCTTTCAATTAATTTTCTCTTCACTATATAAAGCCAGTTGAGACACAATTTAGACACCACTTTAGAATAGTAAAAGACTTAGAAAATTCATTTCAAATTCGTTCTTTCTATTGACAGAGAAATGTAAGATTGTGTTCGATTGCTAAATGTTATCGTACTTACTGTTGTGATCGTTTGTTATTGTATCTTGAGAGACTAATGCCCAACATTACTTAAAGCACTAAGGAGAGGACAAATTTGTCTTAAGAAATTGTTCATATAAACCTTAACAAAATTCATCTTTTATTTATCTGACTCTGCTCATCTGATTCCATGTCTACATACAAATAAACAATTTTATTATTTAATTTTATTTTGTTCGATTCAAAAGAATTTTTTTTTATTTTTCTTATTTTATTTCTTATATTAACGTTTTGTCCAAAAAACTTTTCTATATTTTATATGAAATATTTATTTTCTGGACTTTCACCATATATGTGATATTATTCCAACTATCATCATTTTAGAAGAAAAATAAGTTGTCGATCCTTTAATTGGTAAATTAAAATATAACTTCCACCACGAGTTTAAAAAGTTTTTAAAAAAAAATTAAAGTTCATACATAATATTCAAATACAAATATTGATGTGAGGCCGATGGGAATGAGAGAGATATAATATTTTACTCACGTCTGTCTCACCATCCACGTTAGATCTAATTTTTGTCCCCAACCCTTTCTCATCACCTGCGAAACTTGTATTCATCCCCACTCGGATCCCAACAAAATCCGCCCCACTGGTATCTGTACATGAGATAATATCCAATTACGGATAACTTTTCACCCTTCAACATTTAACTTATTCGCTACATAGCCATCTCATTTTGCAATTAGGGGATATAACTTTAGGGGCATTACTTTTATTTTGCTATAAATAAAGTAAAATTCACCAGCACTCGTCTATCCTAATCCAATTTTGACTCCAAATCAAAATAGTACTAATATTTACAAGCAAGGTGTTTTGACTTATGGAGAAAACATAATTTGTATCAAGGCAAAGGCATGGGAGGTTTCCAATTACTGAACTCTACTAAATCTCTATTCACAATAATCCCATTATGGAGCCAGAATGTCTCAGCCGATTGGTGGAATACCCTAACTTTCCTCTGAAGCTCCCACAAGATTCCATGCATGGCTGAGCATGGTTCCGACTCTGGTGCATAAGTCCACAGGCACTTTACTTGTCTGCCGTTTGCAATCATGCCCTCTATAACTTCATCTGCAAACAAGAGAAAAGGGTTGAATTGTGGGTGTTAAGTAGACAAGAAGGTGAACGAATTGGATACAACCTGGTATGGATTCCAGGTATTCAAGAAGCTGGGGTTTGATCCTAGTGGCGGGCCATTTTATTGTGATCCGTGTGTAGTCTATTACGTTCTGAAAAGGTAATTCTATTCGATCCGATAAGATAACAGGAACACATTCCTGTGCAAAAGAAAAATGGTGAACCAATGGCATGCATGTTTAGAACTGGAGGGGGGAAATGAGGATCGAGAGACAGACCACAAAGAAAGATTCAAAAAAGCGAAGGGTCCATGATGACAATCCACGAGGAATGAGGCAGAATTTGGCATTTCGTAGGTGTTCAAAGTACTCCACCTTGAACAACTTGCCAGGAGGATCATGCTTCAAATCTGGAGCCTCCAACTGTTTAATAATCATTATTCAGATTGTTAAGCATAATTAAAATATATGTTATAGATAGATATAGAAAAATAGAGAAGACCTTATGTGAGTATTGGTCAGCGAGTTGTATGAGTTGAAGACGGCCCTTCAATCCTTGTGCACGACCCAAGTAATTTGCTAAGTACTTTCGGTTGGATAGAGGTAAAGGCTGGACCAAGGCGTCCCCATTCTTAGTCATCTCATCATCCACATTCCCCGGAATTATTATATCTTTCCATGTATCGAATGAAGAAGTGTTTTTATTATTGGTTCGATCCCCCTGCACGCTTTATATTAGCTTTTCCACATACAATAAGGCTGCAATTTTGAGACCAAGCAAGTATTGTATTGTACCTCTGGTGTTAGAAATATGGAACGGTTTAAGAATGTTTTCCAAGATGTGAAAAAGTGAGCTCCATTGCCACTGCCACGCCATATATTTTAGTCATTTCTATAGGTACGTAGAACAAAATAACACATATATTAGCATCAGGGGATGGATCCAGGGGCGGTAATCCCTATTTTTTTTAATTTCTATATATATTTTTTATATTTTTATTAAAAATCTATTTTTGTCCTCATAAAATTGGATAAGTTCGTTTTCTCTTAAAATTTTATAAGTTCGCCCCTAATATAAATTCTTGGATCCATCCCTTATTCCGATATATTATGAAATAACCAAATCTCCATATTGATACCTTGGGAAGACAAATATGTGGTCACGACCTCCAGATCGCCTAAAATATGGCATTTGCCTTAACGCCTGAAAACAACCCATCGCTTCTGAATGGTTATTTTTGGAAGTACAAACATACATTTAACTGATAAAAAAGACATGCAAAAACAATGTAAAATGTATTAGCTATTAGAGATGAGCGTTTAATCAAGTAAAAGAATTTCAAGTTTTTCGAGTTGATGAGTCATATTCTAACTCAAATTTTATTTGAAATTTTTTCGAATCTAGTTTATAAAATGTAAGTCGAGTTGTTTGAGTTTCTGTTTAATTTAATATTAAATATTTATAATATTGTCACCATTGATTCCATTTAAATAGTTTTCTATAACCATATACAATACATATATATTTCTTCATATTTTTCGTGTATATATATATATATATATCATACAATGTTAGGGGAATCAACACAGACTTGAAGATCAATCCACTACTTATTAAAAATTTTGAGTTAGTCGAGTTTTGTTTAATAATTCGACTCAAATTTAAAATTTGTCGAGTCAAATCGAGCTTATAAAATTACGAGTCGTGTCAATTCGAATAAAGATTTTTGAAGTTGAGTTGAGAAAACTGTTTTTTTAAGTCGAATTTTACTCACCTTTTGTGAAATGATTGATCTAATTCTAATTACCTCGACATAGGTCTGATTGATCTCTTCTTCCGTAAGACCTTCCAGCATATGAACACATTTAACATACGCTGGCACGAAGAATAAATCTGCTTCGTCTTTCTCTCTCGTTCTAAATCTTGACTTCAACAGGAATCTGTGTATTTTAACCTGCAACAAATCACGCAAGCTCTCACTGCTGGTTTCTGCAATATCATTTACTTATCAGATTGGGTGTGTCATTTTACCTGAGTGCCCCATTGACCAAGATAGCAAATATCAACGTCCACATTACCTTCTTTCCCATACATCAATGGCTTCAATGCCTCAATCTCGTTCTCATCGTAAACGTAAATCTTGAGGGAGAGCACAGAACCGTATCCTCTTTGTGGCCATGAAAGGTACCCACCGCCATTGAACCGAGATAACTTTCGTGGTGAACGATCCTGCAGGTTGAATATTGGCCACTGGCTGTGGCTGCCATTGTTGTGAAGGCTTGAAGGAAGATGGTCGAGGAGCCTGGTGACGAAGAGAGTTGAAAAGATGAGGAGCAGCGCGCCGACCTGATGGGTGTTGGTGCAGTGCGCGCCGTGGTGGTGCCATATGGTTTTTGTTCGGTGGTAGGGACTCAAGTTTGCCATTACAGGAACCGAAGAAAAGCATGCAGATTAACCCATTGTTAGGGAAGGACGAGTGGATCGATATAACAATGGCTTGGGATTCGAATTCCACCGTTTTTTAATGCTGAAAGAGTTGTGAATTTAAAATGTTTTAAATGCTGCGTCGATTGCTTGGAAAGTTATGGATGGAATATGCAACCAGGGCGTGAAAAACTCCGACAAGTATTGATTGATGAAAAAAACCAAGGGATTTATAGCTAAGCAGAAAGTGAAAAACTGTGAAGATTGAAGAATGAACATTTAACTCAACCACGAGAAACATTTAATGGCTTTAATTATAAATTTTATCGGTTTCGATCTGCTAAGCATTGAGTACATTGGAACAATGCTAGGACTATAATATTATTGGTAAAAATATTGTAAAATGAGGCTTTAGTACTAACATAATAAATAAAATAATAAATCCAATAAAAATACAATATTGCGTAATGATGAATTAGTGTCTTCAAAATAAATTTATTTCCATTTGTGTAAACAATGCAATTTAGATGACATCCCTCGAATTTAATATAGTCTCCTGAAAAAATTATTGTAATCTCCTAAACTCGATTTAAAAGTTATAGGTCGAATCTAGTGTAATCCTAGACCCAGTCTATGCGTTTCGACAAAGTCTAACGGATTACATTAAAAATTCTTAAAACATTTTCCAAAACGTTTTTCGATAATTTAATTTCATATTTTAAATAACATCATGAAAAACATAATGATTAGTAATAAGTCCATCGAATAAAGATAAAACCTTAAGTAACAGAGTAAAATAAATCATGTCATCAGCAATAGCAAACCAAAATAAGTCACAAAACAGTATTTAAAATAATGGCACATGTCACCGTAATTGAAGACAGAGTGGTAGATAAAACATTACAACAAAATGATATGTACTAAATGTGTCGATCCATATCCAAGAGTATCTGAAAGTGGAAAATAGTTTGAAACGTGAGCTAGGGGCTCAGTGTGTCCTAATAGTGCAATTAAAACATAGTATGTAAAATAATCAAGTAATATTTTGGTAAAATATCATGGAAATCTTGATGAAGTTTAAGTTTTTAAAACTCGTAGTTTACCATCCTCCCGTACACCATATGCAGTTCACTAGAATTGCATCCATATGGCTTACCTTATACCCAGTAGATATAAGGAGACAACCTAAGGGATCATCTTGGGGGCATGAGAGCCTACCCAAGAAAGTTCTCGGGGTCTCGGAACCTACCCATGGGTCACCTTAGGTTCGTAAGGAATTACTAGCTTGATTAGAGCTGAACCTCCATACTGCAGTATCCTACCCAAATCATATCTCAAATATACAGTTTGCATAGTAAGCAGTAAATTCCATAAATCCATAATCAACATAATCATATTTCTAGTGAAAACCAATAACCATATTACATATATCATTCAGCCGTAGTCCATAAGCCATCAACCAGTAAATCAGTAAATCAGTAAAACAGTAAATCATAAATTTCAATGAACCACATTTCAAAACAAATAAAACAATCATGTAGCACATAGGTAACACACCTTGTAAAATAGGGTCAAACAGTAGATCTACTAAGCACTGACCTCACCACGCTCTACAGCAGTGCTTGAACCTAATTCATAGTAAACTGAGTTAATATCGAAGTTATATTCTAATCTGGGTATTTCACAGGTCATACGAGTGACTACTAGCTCACGAGGTCTAGCGAATCGAGAAGAGTTGGGTTGAACGATCAGGAGAGCTCGAGTACCTTCAAATAACAATAACTAATCAATCTCAAGTCTTAATTTAATTATTTGAAATTAAAACACTTAAGTACATATGCATGTTCGAATTTGACAGTCAATATGGAGGCTTTCGGGTTTGAATTTGGCAAAACGGACATCGGATTTGGACTTATGACGTTAACAAATATAAAATATGATTTTTTGAAAATTTTAATTTTTTTGGTCAAAGTCAACGGGTCGGGTTAAAGTCAATGGGTAGATTCAATTCAATGGGTTGGGTTAAAGTCAACGGGTCAGACCAGTTCGGGTTGACTCAGATCGGTTCGGGTTGACTTAGTTCGATCCGAGTTATCTCAGATTGGTTCGGGATGGTCAGACCGGTCCAGGCCGACTAGACCAGTCTAACTGGTTTTCTTGGAGCGAAACAAGTAGCAAAACAACAATATCAACCCAAAACATTCAATCAGGCCAAAAACGGGTAAAAATATTCGAATATGGAAACAAACAACTTACTCACACCGGCGATGGGGAAAACGACGGCGACAGCCTCATCCACTGGTCGAGTTTTGATCGCAGGAGCTGGGGAGTCTTCCTAGGGTGGCGATGAGGCGAGCCAGCGATGGAGGCAGCCAGAATCGACGAAAATATACACGACAACAGGGGGTTTTGATAAGGCTTTCTTGGCTCTTTCACGGTGATCGGCGGTGATTGATGACGGGATAGGGGTCGAGTTTTGGTCTCTAATCGACGGTGAGTCCATTGATGGTGTCAGATCGATGAACGGTGGTCGGACGGTGACGATTTGGGGAAGCCGACGAGGGGTATGATTTAGGGGAAGTTATGGATTCGAGGTTTGATATGGGGTTTTTTATTTTTGGGTATTAAACCCGGGCTTTAAGCCCTATATAAAATTTTAATAATAAAATTTTAGAAACAATGCCCTAGCCTTGTGATAGGGGCATAGGTAGCCACATAGGGGGTAGGGGTTCGACATCCCGCATCACCTAACCATTTCTTTTATTTTTTTCTCTGATAACATAGAATGGGTTAATTCAGGTTCAAGTCCCTAAATTTCCTACAACTTTCTAAAACGACCTACAAGTTCTGGAAACTTGCATTTTGTTCCCTAAATTTCATTAAATTACTAAATTTTAAATTTTTATTCTAATTTCTTTAAATTGGGTTATGTCATCTAGAGAGTCCATGTTAAAACTTATCCCTAACGAAATCTGTGTTTGATTTAATTGTTGTTAACATGAGAGTATGATTGATTTGTGATTGTTGATTGTCATTGATTTGTGATTGTTGATTGTCATTGATTTGTGATTATTGATTGTCTAGTATTTATTTGGAAAATGCTATGTGAAATATGTTGATATGTCGGACTAAAATTTATGATATGCATTCGGATTATATGTATATGTATTTATTACATTCCAATCAGATCAGAATTCAGATGTGTTATTTGAATATAAATGTCACTTTGAATGTCATTTGGGACGAATTTTGATAGGAAGTGCGGTGCGTTCACTTAGCTGGGTGAATGTCACTTTCAGATTCTGTGGCCTCTACCTTTGTGGAGGACCCCACTTCATATAATGTGGTTTGATTGTAGATAGTGTGGTTATGGGGAACTCACTCTTTGGATGGTGTGACAGGAGTATGGATTGGTGGATAAGAATTTGCATAACATTCGAATTATGTATATCCCTTTCTGAGTCAGATTATGATTTATTATTGGTTGAATCAAATTTTGATTGTTGTTGGTTGTTCGGACTATGATCTAATTGTGACCTTTCGCACTTTAGAGACACACTAAGTTTTATAGTTTACTCTCTCATAGTTTTTCTTTCAGATATCCGTATTTAGGAGAATCGGTACGTAGAGAATCACAATCAACATTTAGATAAAAACTTTAATTCAATATGAACTTTTATATGATTATTCTTTATCGGATTTTGCCTATAATTCTTTTGGATTATTTTTATTAGTTTTATTTGGAACTTCAGACAATATTATTAATTTTGGATTGTTTTACATGTTTTTTTATTTATTATTCATATCATATTTCCTCGGACTTTTATTTTTAATAAATTATATTGAAGTTTGAAATTAAAAAATGCTTCTAAGTTTTAAATGGTTGTTTTAAAGTTCTAAATCAAACACAGATTTTGTGAGATACAATTTTCAATGTGGACTCTCTAGATTCAACCTACAACTTTTAAATCGGATTTACAGGGTTACAATTATACACTCGAAATTTGGAATAGCCAGAAGTATTATTACTTTCTTTAAAACCAAAACTCAAAAAAAAAAAATAGACAGATTTTATAAGTAAAATCAGTTTTTTTTAATAAAGAAAATCGTTGTTGTTTTCTTCTCTGTTCTTTCAATTTTCGATGTTTTAATTTTGTCACGATTAGGAAAGGGTCTCGGGGGGGTCCAGCTTGTGATGGTAGGGATTATAAATCTTAGGGACAGGTATAGGTTGCGCTGGTTCGAGTATTAATTTTTTATTCGACTTAAAAAATATATATCTTATATCCTAAATTCGATCCATTGTAAGGTTAGAGTAATTTTACTCGACCCAAAACCCAATATATTTTTTGGGATAAAATCTAAATTCAATATGACTTGACCTGAAACAAATATATTTATAAAAAATATTAATTTTATTTGATAAAATAATTATCGAAAAATTAATTTTAAAAGAGATATTATTGTAATTATTTTTATATAAGATATAATTACATTATTTTCATGGAGTATTTTTCCCCTTAAATTCAAATTCAAACAAAACTTATCCTCTAAAAATATGAGTCATACCTTAATTATTTAAAAAAAATCTAACTCAACAAAATTGGATTGAGTCATAACTCGTCAAGTTCAGGCGTCATGTTCATCTCTGATATGCGCTCGTAAATTTTAACAATATAGTTGAAGGGATCTAAATAAAATTTATTAAAATTTTGAGAGATTTTTTTTATGTTTTGAATAATTTTAAATAAATTTAATTAAAATATTTAAAACTTATTGAAAAATTTTGATTTTTTTACAAAATATAATTATAATTTCAAATAATGTTTTTAAAAGTATAACATAAAATCCAAAAAACATTGAGGTGTCCAGGCTTACTAGGCCTTCCTATCATGTAACACCCTTAATTCATATACGTACTTAAATACGAGTTAAAGATATCATACTGATTTTTTATAACATTCCATACTTTAAATCCCTTAAAATTATGTTTCATTTCAAAATTTC